TAAGCTGCAAGTGTTTTGTATAATCGTGATCATAGAATTGTTTGATTGGAAGGGACCTTAAAGATCATCTAGTTCCCTAAAGATCATCCCTGCTCTGGGCAGGGACACCTTCCACCAGACCAGGTTGCTCAAAGCCCCATCCACCCTGGCCTTGAACATTTCCAGGGATGGGGCAGCCACAGCTTCTCTGGGCAACCTCTGCCAGGGTCTCACCACCCTTATCTTAAAGAATTTCTTCCTAATATCTCATCTAAATCTTTCCTCTTCCAGTTTAAAGCCCTTGCCCCTTGTCCTGTCACTCCATGCCCTTGTACAAAGTCCCTCCCCAGCTTTCTTGTAGGCCCCTTTTAAGTACTGGAAGGCTGCTCTAAGGTCTGCCTGGAGTCTTCTCTTCTCCAGGCTGAACAACTCCAACTCTCTCAGCCTGTCCTCACAGGAGAGGGGCTCCAGACCCTTCTATGGACTTGCTCCCATGGGAGGAGCAATCCACACCCCCTTCCCCAGCCACTGCCCTTTATGCGCGATGGGGACCTTATCTCCTCCCACAGTGTGTAGGGGTTTTGTTTGGGCAGGATCGGGATCAAAAGATGTTGCTGTGCCAGGATAGAGCCTTATGCAACTGCTGCAGTAGAAGTTGCATCCACCCAGCGAGCGTAAATCCCTCAGAGACAACCTGGCTACACAGTTCCATTGCGCACAGCCAGAGCTCTGGAGAGGTCTGGGCACAAGGAAACAGTTCTAGGGATCTGATGAATATTTGTTTCCATGGCTGAAAATCTTGCCCCAGGGAGTAAGAAGAGCTTGTGCTAGGAGTCTGACCAAGGTTAGGCCATGCTTGACCAAGATTGAGGAGCTGTCCCCAGCAGCAAAATGACTGGGGCCTTCAGTGCCACCTCAAGGAAGAAGTCCTCTTCCCAGCTCAGAGCTGATCCCAGACTCACCTGATGCAGTAGCCTTCCAGGGAGGCCAAAACCTCAGTGGTCCCTGTAAGGACACACCTGTCCAGGCCAGACCTTGCTGCGGAAGAGGCAGGAAGGCGCAGGGCTGCTGCTGCACATGAGGTCCCTTCCAGAAGTGCATTGCCTATTGAATTGCCTTCATGTCCTGCTGCAGACCATATGCCAACATGGATCCCACCTTTTCTCCACCTGTTCCCACTTCCTGGCCCCTGTGCCTCCGCTTCTGTTTCCCTTAGGAAACATCATCTACCTAAGCTTTCCCAGCCAAACAGTGGCAGCTCCCACCGGGCACTGGTGTGCATCTCCTGGCAGTGCGACCCTGTCCTACGTATGAAAGTGAATCCTCTCTCTGTGTCCCAAAGAGAGGGGAGAATTTGTACCAGAGACAAGGTGACCAGGAAATTTGGCTTCCTAAGCTAATCAATGGGAGTAGTTCTGTGAATGGCAGTGGGTGGTGGCAGAAGAGGCTGAATCTTGTAGACCAGTAGAGGCGAGGCTGCTGCAGCTCCATGTCCCCAGCCCCATACAGTAGTGAGACTGAGTGTGTATGTACAATATGTACTTATATAGAATCATAGAATTGTTTAAGTTGAAAAGGACCTTTAAGATCATCGAGTCCAACTGTAAACCTAACACGGCCAAGACCACCACTAAACCATATCCCTAAGCACCACATCTACATGCCTTTCAAATACTTCCAGAGATGGTGACTCCACCACTTCCCTTGACTGCCTGTTCCAATGTTTGACAACCTTTTTGGTGAAGAAATTCTCCCTAATATCCAATCTAAACCTCCCCTAGTGCAACTTGAGACCGTTTCCTCTCGTCCTATCGCTTCTTACTTGGGAGAAGAAACTGACCCCCACCTCGCTATGACCTCCTTTCAGGTCATTGCAGAGAGCCATCAGGTCTCCCCTCAGCCTCCTCTTCTCCAGACTAAACACCCCCAGCTCCCTCAGCCGCTCCCCACCAGACTTGTGCTCCAGACCCTTCCCCACCTTCGTTGCCCTTCTCTGGACTCACTCCAGCACCTCAATATATTTATATAGATACATAGCAGAAAAAAGGACATATACATATAAGCAACCACACAGGTCAACACAGACACAAAGTACTGACACAAACACAAACTACATGAGCAGCCTGAGCCTGTTCTCCTCCCTGGCTGCTAGCAGAAAAAAATATCTGTTTACACATAGACAATATGGACCTCTCCAGCAGTAAGGTTTAGTCATTCAGTCTATCCATAGCTGGCCCCTGCATGCCCTCGTCTTCCCTATACTCAGTCTCCTGACAGACACAAAGAGAAAAAGGTCTCTCCTTTAGCTGGTGAAGACTTCTGGTATTCCTAGTGTGTGTCTCTCAGGATCCCTGGTCTGCCTGGGAGCTGGCTTGGACACCTGGGCCCCTGCTCCATTTTCAGTGATGAGGTTCCTGGGGTTCATAACTGCGCAAAGTTGTTCAATCACGTAATTTGACAGGTGGGAAGAGTCTGGAGTCCTTTTGGCTAGTCCAACTAGCCACCCCCACAAGTTGATGAGACTATTTCCACTGGTGTAGTATTGACACTTGTAGGGATTTGACTTAATTCCACAAGATCCCATCAATAACACAAGCGGACAAGAAGCAGTGCCACAGGTAGCTGTCAGAAAGCAGCGGTCAGCAGAGTCTTGTGGTGGTATCGGGGAACTGGAGAAGTGCACCGCTGCAAATAGCCTCCCTTCCCCTTCCTGCTGTTCCAAACCTCTCCAGTTTCACAGTCCAGAGGTCTACCTCATGTAGAAGAAAATCCTTCTCTGCTGAGTTAATGTCCTCCGGTGAGAACATGACCACTGTGCTCTTCACAGCCTCTTTGTGGTTAAGATGCTTCTCCCCTCTTCCAACTGCTTTTTCCCAGTGCCAAGCCTCGTATTTCCTCACAGATCCTACTTAAGAGACTTCTTTTCCCTGTTTCTCTTACTTTGCCTCAGATTCCTCCCATTCCCCTCTGGCTCTGGCTAAGCCCGATGCTCTAGCTGTGAGCAGAACAGCACGATTTACCTCTTTCCTCCCTAGGTCATACATCTACCCTCAGAGTTAATAAGCCTCCCCTGGAGACCCACTACTGGACAAGGAGTTCACTCCTCTATTTAGCAACTTTTATGAGGGCCAAGCTCACCCCTGCAAAGCAGCATTTTAGTCACTTCTCCCAGGGTTTATTTCCACGCTGGATTTCTCCCCCATGGTGTAATCGCCTGTGCCTGCCTTCCAAGCATTTTATCTTCTCTGGTTTTTTTTTCTCATTTCTCTGATTTCCAGATCACTTGTCCTCCCAGGTTGTTTCTTGGTCTCTTGGCTTGTCCCTTCTCAAGTTTTCATGGCTATTCCTGCTCTTTGACTGGTTATTGATTCTTCTTTCTCCCTGGGCTTTTGTTTTTGTGTTAGCAGAATGAAATAGCCCATGCTTTTCCTCTTTTTGAACAGACCCTGAAAAACTAGATAGGGAGCAAAAGAAACCCAGTGGTGGTTCACCTTGGTGATCTGACTCAGCCTGTCACTTCACAGAACAGCTCTCCACCTTCCCTGAGAGTTCTTCCCGCACCGGAGTCCTGGCATGAGGCTTTCTTCCTGAAATATCCAGAAGATGAGCTCTCATAGACCTGGTCCTGCCTGGCCTTACGTGCTGTCATTTCAAGAAGGGTGACGTGTGACAGTACCTGCTCCTGGCCCTGCAAGCATTGTCCTCTTCATCTGCAAGCCAGAAAGTATGCTCTGTAGTGGCACATCCTGGGGTCCTGTGCTCGGGACTGCCTGGAGGGGACCTCCTTGTCTGGGGTCTTTAGTGATGTTCCCACCAGTTTCTGCCTTTTGCTGTGTAGGACTCCCCTTTAGCCCTCACTCTGCAATAATTCTTAGCACGCAAGAAAAACAGGGAGCAGATTTCCTTTCTTCCCTCCTTCAGAAAAGAGCCAAACCGGCAGAGGGAAGGTTAAGCCTGCAGTGGAAAATCTAGCTGAAGGTGCAGAGCTCTTGAATGATGGAGCTGGGTGGCAGTTCCTTCTGCCAGGTTTGGAGAACCTGGGGTGAGCTGCGGTGAGCAGCACCGCCTGCCATGTCTGAACATGGCCGTCTTGTCTTGGCTGTAGGAAGAAGGCAGGTTTCCACGTAGGACTGATGCCAGTGGGATTAGCGGAATAGGAGGACAGGGGTGATTCATCCAGGGGGTTCTGGATGAATCAGCAGCTGAAAGAGTTCAATGTCCCTGTCTCTGAGCCCTGGACCCCCAGGTGCTGGACCTGACCTTTCCCTGCAGTGCTCGACAAGGATGTCCTGGAGGTCTGGGGAATCGACTAATGTGAATGGTGAAGCATGTATTGTAATCCACTGGAAGGCAGAAGGACACAAGAGCTGGAACAATCTTCCACATGAATGAGAGGCATTATCTTCAAATTTCTGAAACTGCAACATCAACTGTCTGATGGAGGAAACCTCATCCTGAGCAAAACTGAGAGACCAGCAGTGACCCTACAAGAACACAGAGGATTTTTGGAATGGGTATGAACGCTGGAGCTTGCATCTTTGTTCTGCTGAGTGGGAATATTGAGTGGAAACGATACAGTCGGGCAGTGGTGAGTTTCTCTTCTCCAGGCTGAACAGTTCTAACTCTCTCAGCAGCTGCTTATATGAAAGATGCTCCAAAAGATGCTCCATTTGCCTTTTCAAGGCATAGGAAACTTCTCTCAATTGCTGCAACCTTCAAAGACACTGGGTTTGCAATGAGATTGGCTTTTTTCTTGTAGCTTATTTGGACACATGGGGAGTGGTATGGTCAGCTGCCTGGGTAACAACCTGCAGAGAACAACCCAGGATTGTCCTCGTGCCTTTGGTGACTCTCCAGAAAACAGGCCGTATTCCCTCTCTGTCTTGGTGGTGTTCACCCTGTGGCCTGCTATCGCTACCCAGTGCAAGGCTGGATGTGCTGCACAATGGGCTGGAGATGGTTTCAAAAATGCTGCTACTACATGCAGGTTGAACAGATGTCCTGGAATGAAAGCAAGGGCACCAGCACAGGGTCAGGATCCCACATGATGATCGATACCGATGAATATCAGGTAAGCACGAGTCTTCCCATGAGGGTCTTCCAAGCAGATCCTCAAATCGGCCAGTGTCAGCTCTCCTGAAGTCTCTGGTTGTGACCCTGGGTTTTGCCCTGCTCTCTCCTCACAAGATTCTGAACTCCAACACCTCATAGTCACCGCAGCCAAGCCTGCTGCCAGGCTTTACATCCCAAACCAGTTCTTCTTCATTTGTAAGGGTGAAATCCAGCAGAGCATGTCTCTTTATCAGGTCCTCCATAACATGTGTTGGGAAGTTACCATCAAGACACTCCAGAAACCTCCTGGATTACTTCTACTTTGCTGCTGAAAACAAAGCTTGGAAGCTGCTCAGTCTGCCAACTGCCCATTAGCTGCACCCTCACACGTACTGCTGGGGATCAGGGCTGTGGAGATGGTCTTCGGCCTGTCAGAGGGCGAAGCAATCAGGCACGTTGGGAACAACTTCCTGCGGGATTCATTCTCTCTTCCTGAGTTGTCACAGCTGGTAGCACTTCCTAGGTGTTTTCTGCTTTTGGCTTTGCTAGTAGATCCTTCTAGACTGCTTGCCTTTATTTGACTGTTGCAGAGAAGTCTTTCCCTTCAAATCATTCTGAATTCAAGGAACTGGAAAGCAGGACTCCCCAGGGGATTCGAGCTGATGGAGAAACGGCCATCAATCCCTGAGAAAGAGATAACTAGAGCCAACAAGTTAATTTCTGAACATGGGCACACTTGCTGGTTTTTGTTGGTGCGTGGAACCTTCTCATGCATTCTCCATCCTGCTTCAGGTGGCTGGTTGCTTCTAAAACTAGGCACCTTCAGTGCTCCCAACATGTGGTTTGCTGTGTTTCCGCCTCTTAAATAGGAGCTGCAACTTATTTCTTGAGCTGTATAATTTTGCAGAAAAGCTGATGACGTTTTATCTTCTAGCTTCTCAGATCCCGAGAACCTCTGAGGGAAGTTGCATTCTGTGTCTTCTCCTGCAACCTGGAGTCCTGCAAGACACTCTGTAACTGCAATATTTTCCTTAGTTCACATCCCGTTGATCTTGTCTGTAACCATACCGTGCTTACTGACTCTTGTCCATGCTTCTAAGGGTCTGTGAAAGTAGATCCAAGGTTCTCCAGTGCCTCTTCTAGGAGTGCACTTGTTATATCCAAGTACCACCATCTTCAGCGGCTCAGGGGCAAGAGCACCTAGCAATTCTGCACCGCCAGGTGCCACCCTGTTGTCCCAGCGCACTGATCTGACGCATACATTTGCGAACTGAAACAACCAAGGGTCACTCGTGAAGTTCTCCCATGACTGGAGCAGGTAGAAAACAGCCAAAAATCTTTACCTTACAGAACTGTGGAAGGACTTACATGAAGACTGAGGTCATTGATACATGCTCTCCCCAAGCATGCTGCTGGTGTTTATGGAGCAGGAAGGAGAAATAAGTTCCTGCCATTTTGGAAATACAAGATATTTGCAATGGGGCCAGAGCCTTCCACTGAGGAGATAACCTCTCCCATCACTGGTCCCAGCTGCCTGGCACCAGGACTACTAAGAAGTTTCTGGGCAGGCCAGTGCAGAGTTTGGCTACTGTCACTGCTTTGAGACTCCTTATCCTGGAGTGGGACAGAGCTGTTTGTCGGTCACCTGCATGTTGCAAAGTCAGCTGTTGATTTGCTGGGAACAGTAGCTTGGTTTCTGATGCTGAAAAGAAAGTCGTTTGCCATCTCCCTGCTTTAGACCTTGTGCACACACCAAAGTGAATTCATGTGAGGGTGCTCGTACAGCCCTTCATCTTGGTCAAATGGCCTGCAGAGCAACAACTGGTAAAGTAGGAACGTGAATGTAAACAGCTGTGTGAGCTGAATACCTGAAACTATCTGAGAGGGCATTTGCCCCAAACCCGCTTTTGTTAGAGAAGAACATGACCACTGGCTTAACAGTAACCAGGGAATTCGCAAAAGGCTTTAGAGACAGAGAAGAGTCGGTCTGAAAATAAAGTTTAGAAGAAGCAAGAACATTTTTCACAGAGAAGAGAGAGCAGTGGGAAGGAAGGGGCGGTCAACACCTGGTTTGACAGTTGCCCTGCAACTTTGCAACCCCTGTCTGTATCAGAGCATCCTCTCTGTTGGATGCTGTGGGTAGCCGGTGTTAGTGGCAGTAAGGCGTGCAACAGGCACAGACCCACAACTTCGGTGTGCGTATGTGACCTTGTGCTTTCTCGCTTCCCTGGGGGTTGGCAGGCTGTAGGAAGTGCGTGAGAATAGGGGAACCCCTGTTTCCAGAAAAGGGGATGTGTTCTGGCAGCCTGCCCTTCCTGTAGCAGGGGTAGAGAATGGGAGGTTGCACAAGCCACCATGTGAATGGGTGTGTATATGGCGGGTCAGAGCTTTAGGGGATTAGTTACACAGAGACATTTAGAAATTTGTAGGTGCTTTTTAACATTTTGTGTCTGGTACTGTGCTTTATCTGTCGGATTGTTGATACTGATCCTGAATAAACAGGTCATGGTTTGTCAGTTAATTACATGTCATGAATAAATCGGTAAACTGCTTAGAACCATCCTGATTAGATTTAAACCGCATGAACTGAGCACATTTTCTTTCTGACAGTTTTGCACCCTCCGCATTCTCTATACTGATCAGCTGAAGTCAACTCCCCGCCCATATGCACAAAAGTGAATGTATTTTAGAGCGATAATAAGTACAATGCATTCTCATTTTTGGGCATCTGTGGTGCAATTCAGTTGTGTTCTCCAGCATGACGGCTGGGAATTTTTTAAAATACCATCTGAGAATCCCTCACTGCGCTGTGAATCCAATAGTCGGTGCTTTCTAGTAGCTCATACCTTCTACAACAATACCAGTAAGCACAGGTACGGACCATTTTTCCAATGCAACAGAGTTGTTGGGTGGCTCGACCCTGCCTGCAGCCTGTTGTGCATGAAGAGAATATTTTCTACATTCAATTTAGGCTTGTTCTCATTGTAACCAGTTTTGTGCCCTGCTCTTTTGACACTTCAACTGATACGCTTGTGCTATTGCGTTAGCTATCCCATTCCTTCCTCGGTGCATTCATGCCTCTTCATAGGGAGAAAGTAGCTGATGGAACATGGAAGAGTAAAGGCTGCGTACCCACCCCAGTGCATTCATAGTACAATGAGATCCAGTAGGGATTCTGTATCCTTAGGGACAATTTATCCTGCAGGGTTTTGAATCAAGTCGCCTTGAGCAGTGTAGAACCACAACGTATGGCTGTGCCTTTTGTAGTCGTGACTGAGTAAAACTTCGTGATCTGTAACGCACCGGGATTCTGGCACTGTCTAGCGAGCTTTTCTGACCTCCAGCTCCGTAATGTCCAGTCATATACAATCCCTCCACTCAAATCTCCATCCTCTTTTCCTGAGCAATTGGTTAAAAACAGTGTTGGCAAGTCCTTTGTTGTGCCCTGGGTTACTGGGCTCAGGCTTCACCGGGGGACTCGCCCAGACTGAGTCACAGATACGCTTTCCAGCTGTTTTTTGGTTTCCTTTTTGCAGGACATCGTGAGTGGGTTTAGGCCTTTGCTAGCAAATACCAACAGCATAGGCATTTTCACACACATACTCCCTCACCAGGAAAGAACAAACACCAAAGAGGTAAGGCCAGTAGTATGTCCTGTGATACTGCTTGAATATGCGCAAAAGGAGGTTGGTTGTGCTGGAATGATACTACTCTTTATTGGTTTTCATTTGCCTCTGTGAGCTTCTGTGTTGCAATGAGCATATTATGAAATGTCCTGACAGAGAAACGATGAAAATTTCCCCATCTCCGTGTGCTGTTGGGAACACCCAGAACACAGCTTTTTCTGCACACCGGATTTAGAGACTGTGCAGGCTCCTCACCAGTGTGGGAGCTGCCCTAGTGCAGCCTTCCGTGCGGCGGGCAAGGCTGTATTCGTAGCTACATTGGTAATGTGGATTCTTGGAGAAGAGTGACGCTGTGGTAGAGAAAATGAATTGCCAAGGGAGAGCCAGTCCTGGAACTGCAGGTAACCACAAAGCCTTCCTTTCTGTCCTCCTGTAGAAGAAGAAGGAGGTGGGGGAGAAGACAGGGCTGGGATGGATAATGGGCATGGTACACTGGCTAGCCTCATACCAGGAGAAGGGGCTTAGGACAAGAGGAAAGTAACAGATGAGGGAACTGGGATGGACTATAACCTTTTTCCCAGAGCCAGGGGGAACAAAAGTCCAGGCAGACTATGGTCTGCCATCCCCTTCAGTGGTTTTTCTGTAAATGATGGGACTGAAGCATGCTATCCCACTGCAATTATCCAGGTAAAACTATCTGCATCAAATAAAGCACAAGTCACTGCTCCCATCTCTGGTGTCTCTACGGACAACCAAGTGAGGGCTCGCCCAAGAGCGTCAAAGTGCCCGTTCTCCCTGTGTGTCTGCCTCTGCAAACACGGAGCTGGACAGTCACTCCTTGGAGTGACTATACGCTATCGCATAAAAGGGCTTGGGGGATACAGCCAAAACAGTCAGCTGAGAGAAAGCAGCTCTAAAGAGAGATGAACAAGAGGGAGGTACAGAAAGAGCGTTTGGTGAAAGACAGGGGTAATGGAGGGCAACAAGGTGGATGTGTTGAGGAGAAAGGAGATGTGACAGGACAAAGAAAGGAGGAATGCAGTTTGGGAAAAGTACAGGCAGGGCTTGTGATAAAAAAGTGAAACAAAAGAGCACCTTCGAGGCAGCCCCTGTGTTGCCCTGCTCTGTGGGTCTGACCCACTGCTTATGATGGGTGGCAGGACCTGGTTACAGCAGGACCTGGCTACAGCAGGACCTGACTACAGCACTTGTGGAGCTCCCCGGGCCTTGGAACTGGGGTACCAGCAGGTTGTTGGGGTACAGAGCCATCTGGGTTATCCTGTCTCTGATGCTGGGTTGGGGGGATTCCCACTCTTGCCTTGTGTTTTTCAGGCCCAGCAGAAGAGAGAAGCTGTCCCTGGCTGAACCCCTGGGTCTTCCTTGTTTCTGTCCTTGCCATCAAAACTGCCTTTGTAATCATCTGCCTTGGTGGGTTCTAGGGTCTCTTAATTCCCCTGTAGATGAAGGGAGCAGTTGACTGCCTTTCATCAGATGGAAAACCAATATCCTAGTCTCTCTACCAGCAGGCAAATTCCTTTCACCAAAACAGCCTCTTCTGCTGCTCCTATCCCGCCTCTGCCCTCTTAGTCAGGGAGCGAGGTTCCTTCCACACTTAAGGGTCATTCCCACTGCCCCTCTAGCTTTCCCACCTGCCTGAATAAAGCCAGTCCTGGGTGAAACCAGACAGTTTCCCCTCCCACCAAGAGCTGAGAAATCTCTTTAATGTCAGAGAGTATCTGAGTAGGTTCCCCAAAGGCTGACTGTTGGATGTTGGTTCTCCTAACCCGGTCGCTCTCTAGGAGCTCCCTGTACCAATGTTGCAGCCAAGGAGCCAGTGTGATGTCCTTGGAAATACTGGTAACAGGCTGCCCATATTTCAGAAGGATGGGGGTGAATCCAACAAAATACTCCAGCCATCATATTGCTCAGTGATGGCTCTTCTGTGCTGCTTCTTAACTCCCTTGGGTGAGGCCTCAACACTCAACAGTTCTACCCCTTCTTGATAAGGGTAAAAGCGGTGCTTTGAAGCTGCAGTGCCCAGGAAGATTAAGAGGGAACGTGTATTAATATTCTACCTTTATTAAGCTTATCCCATGACTTCTTTCACCCTTTCCTGATCTCATCCTCAAAAGATGTCTAAGCTGGTTTTGTCAGGTGGGAAAACGGGTCTCTCAGCCAGCAGAGGTGAGAGGAGCACATCTGATTAATGCCTGTTCAAAGGAGGGAGTGAGCAGTAGTGGGGGAAACGGCCTGCTGTTTCTCATCTCCTTGTTCAATACAGATTTCAGAGCTTGTTAGAGTAACAGTGTCTTTGTGGGGGCTCTAAGCAAGAAGGTGGAGGGTAGTACAGGTTACTCATGAATGTGGAGGGAGGGATGACAGTAGCACTTTCCTTCTCTTTCCTCTCTTCCCAGTTGTTTTCCTTCACGGAAGCTATGGCCAGTACAAGACTCTGCTCCAGAGTGGTACAGAGTGGCACTGCGTCCCCAACGTACCTGCAGGCAAAAGTGAGTGATGTCAAGAGCCTCATAAGCAATACTAAGAACATCACCAAAATTTGCTATGGTGTCAGTCAGCCTTTGAGATTGGGTATGTGATTGTCAGTTGGAGTTGGATTGTTTTAAGGAAGGAGGCTGGAGAATTGAGGAAAGAAAATGCCATACTGCACAATTTTACTTAGGTTGCTATGAAAACATGTTCTGGGCCAGCGGGAGAGGGTGGGTTGTTCCAGACCTACCTTTGACCACCCTTCCTACGCTTCCCCTCTCACTGGCCCTCACACAACCCCCCAACTGCTAGTCCAGTTCACTAATCTAGCTGAACGTGCTTCATCCTTTTGTAAGGGCTGGTCCAAGCCAGCTCCACTCCCTGTGCTGGCTGCCTGCCTGTTGACACAAGCAGCATGGTCAGGGAGAAGGACAGGGGCAGGAGTGGTAGGAGGGTGTCGTTACACAGTTTAGAGTGGCTGGAGAGCTGGGCTGCAATCGCACGTGAAGTGATGGCAATGGCAAGTGGTAGAATTCCTGCAGCGCAAATTCCCAAACTTGGTTCAGAGATCTGTTCTCATGTAGCCTCACGCTTTGAGAAAATCTATCTATCTATGGGATTTTTTTAATCCGTCATGTAACTTTCTGACTATAAGGCAGAGCTCTAGGAAAACCTGCCTAGTGTAAGGAACTGCCTGTGCTGGCAGCAAGGCGGTCAGAGGAGTTGACTGCACGTCTCTGTCAGTCTGCACGTGTCAAGAGCTAAACACTTGGACAGCGCTTCTCTGATGGAAGTGTTCCCAGAGGAATTGCGAGCCAACTGCTTCCCATCGTGCTGCCTCAGGAAAGGTAAGGCAGAAACTGCGTCTCTCAGAGAACAGAGGTTGCACGGACGTGGCAGAACAGGTAGAGAAAGGGAAAGGCACTTCAGGCAGGGGCCTCGTGACAGGAGCCTGTCAGGCTGTTGGCAGCTTTACTTGTGGAGCACGGAAGCAAGCGTTTACCTCTGTCCAGGTTAAAGGTGTGGTTCAAACCCCTTTCCTAACACCTCGGACCCTACACTGAGCTCACGGAGATTAAGGACGGCACATCTTGTTCAAAAGCAGGACTTTTTTTTCTCCCACAGAGGAGGGCTGGACATGCTGTCCCAACGGCTGGAGACGCTTTCAAGACAAGTGCTATTATCTGTGCACCGATACGATGTCCTGGGTTGAGAGTCAGCAGAACTGCACCGGGATGGGCTCCCACCTGGTGGTGATCAACAGCAGAGAAGAGCAGGTACGTGCAGGGCTGAGAGAGGGACACAGCGGCCAGGGACACAGTGCCAGGCCCTGGAGGGGACCCAGAG